TATCTTGATTTGATCATAACCATGAGCATGCAACAGTGCAAGGGGCCGTCTATACGTGCATGTTTTAATTTAGTGAACAAAACCTAATTCAAAATCATAACCCACCATTTCTGTAATTGTTTATTACCAAGGTCACTGTTTCATTCACATTGAATGGATACTTACTACTAAGACGCAGTTTAACGCTTAAATTCTGTCCAGAACATACGAAATGTTGCTAGCTGTTACTCTGTAAGCGTATACTTTCGAAAACCCATAACCCAGAAATGAAGTATCTTGAAAAGGTCACAGTAGTGTTTTTGTCTGCCACTTAAAATCGTTATCCAAAAGCCAGGTGACAAAACTACGACACGTACATACATTGACATATTACATATTTGCTCCAACAAAAAAAAACTGTGAAATAGTAATCTTTGCTATAACCGTTCAAGTAATATCGATGTTCGATCTATATACATTACTGACGTTGACACAACGGAATGCTTTCATCATTCCCCGTATTATATCTCAACATTTTCATTCTTCATCAAGGCACACATCTATCCAAATTCAATCACGAGAAAGATTACAAGAAAGATCTCACAGCCACCACAAGAATCTATGAACCACAGTACCCAGAGCTTCAAATTCTCTGCTAAACTCATGTTCGATTTAGTAACAAAACGTAACTCAACATCCTCAAAACTCATTTCGGCATAGGCTGCGGCTTCCTCCCGAAAAAGTATTCCTCGCTTACAACAAAAGTTAGCATGCCAAAATCAGATACGAATACCACAAACAAGACTGTAACAAGTTTCGACCATACTACGGAAACCCATCTCATAATTTGTATCGTCCTTCCTCAGTGACCATATCCACACTAACCGCTCAAACACAAAACGAAACTCAGCCGTCCGTTTCATTAACTATGCAAATTCTAGCCATCGCTTTCAAAGATATAATATAATCCAACTAAGATGCGAATAAAAGCTGATGCAACTATCAATTCGCAAAAACAATTATCCAAATCAAGATAAAGTAGGTAACATTATCACGGCATCAAAAACGACACATCCAAATAAAGCAAGAAAAACGTGCACTAATCCAATCCATGTACCGACATCTACATAGCAGCCTTCAGGAGCATTTAACTAAACCTAAAAACACCATAAAAACAATTTCTAAACGACCAAAAAATTTCGCCACACTCACGTGCAATTAGCCACGTGAACCGACTAAACCCACACCAAACGAACCCAATACCGAACTAAATTCCACAAGAGACTGGAAGAACAAAAGTAGTAACTATCCACCTGGCTCACTGAAAAAACATACGAATACAACCGACACCTAAAAACCACGCAACTCATTGACCACAAACAAGCGTCACCACACCAACACACACAAAACTCAGAGTACACTTTCCAAGCCAATCGCCTGATCCAAAACTACATAGCCAAGCGATATCATTAACAACAAAATTATCACCCATTTCCGTAAATTCGAAGCAAAGGTTGCGACTCGGTCACCTTATCCAACATCACATGCCTAAGGAACATTCATCAGTATACTTCTGTTCACCTCTTTTGCTCACTTCGAAGCAAAGGTTGCGACTCGGTCACCTTATCCAACATCACATGCCAAAGGAATACTTATCAAGATACTTCTGTTCACCTCTTTTGCTCACTTCGAAGCAAAGGTTGCGACTCGGTCACCTTATCCAACATCACATGCCTAAGGATCATTCAGAATGATACTTTCGTTCACCTCTTTTGCTCACTTCGAAGCAAAGGTTGCGACTCGGTCACCGTATCCAACATCACATGCCAAAGGAATACTTATCAAGATACTTTTGTTCACCTCTTTTGCTCACTTCGAAGCAAAGGTTGCGACTCGGTCACCTTATGCAACATCACATGCCTAGGAAACATTCGTAGTCAGACTTCTGTTTGTGTGTGTTGATCGGTTGGGAAGATGGTGGTGATCTGCTGCGTTTTGTTGAGGAGTATGTGTTTGAGTGATGGCACTAAGGGGCGTGTTCTTCTTTTGGTGGATTTGCGTTTTATGTTGCGGATTGGTGTTCTGTTCAGATCGTTAGGTTTTCCATTGTGGGTTTTCTTGGTGATAGCGATCTGTATGGGTAGGTGGGAGGCGTGGTTGTGTCAGGTTGGAAACAAATGGTACTGTGTAAGTGTTATATTGTCTTGAAGTATACAGTCAGAGGAGAAGGTAGCAGATACGAAAGTCTGAGAGGCTATCATGCATCCTTGGAAACCAGAATAGAGTTTAGGCATGTGGAGGTAACTCGAAACCATGTTTTGGTTTCGTTTAATTCTCCGTAGAGCCCCCCCCCCCCCCCCCCCCCCCCCGAGTATAAAGGGCATGCGCTTATACTGGGTAGAGAGCTGCGGGAACAACTGTTTTTTGGTTCCCGTTCCCGTATTCGCGTTCCCGGAACAAAATTTTAGTTCCCATAATGCTTTGAGAATAGCTACAAAGATTTGATTATTCACATTCATCAACACTACTCCTACTTGATACTGGCTTTTAGCGACATCATGTTTCTCACAATACAAGATTCCGTATATTAAAGGTAAATTTCTGATTCAAGGCTCATAAACCTATTGTAACTTGATGCTTGAAATTTCAGTTGAAACTTGTAACTTGAAATTTCAATTGAATTCAAGTTTCAAGTGTGACATATATGTAATCTTGATGATCCCAACTTCGATGCTGACGACGACGATGGTGGTAAAGAATATCTTGATTCTCATAATCTATGTTTGAATGAACTTGTCTGATTTTGTTCACTGATATTTGTTCTCTTTTCAATTATATTTCAAATAGTTATTGGAAATCGAATACTGTAAGATTGACAGATTTTAATGCAAACAGAAATCGGACATAGGGTTTGCCGGGAGCAGAAATTTTTAATACAATTCCCGTTCCCGTGTTCCCGGAGTGTCTACCAGAACTCCCGTTCCCGCATTCGCGCTCCTGAGGTCTCACGGGAATTCCGGTTCCCGATTCCCACGGGAAACGGGACGGGAAAACACGGGAAAAAGTCGTTCCCGCAGGACCCTAATACTGGGTCTCGGCACATCATTACTTTTTCCATGACCTTCTACTTAGGGTGATCTTGTAGTAGGTCTAAAATTTAAAATGTTCTATGTTTCAATAGATTTCATTTTTATTTATTTTTTTCATATTAGAGATTATTTTTTTTCCAGATATCGAGTGAAGGCTTTTGCTTTGTATTCTTGTCAAGATTTCGATTGTGCTGTTCTATGGCTATAGGAGCTTCTTCAATACATTGATCATCGGGAATATTTGAATCTTTGTTAGTCGAATAATCAGCATTGATTGGATCAAAACAATAGCCTGGTATACGTGCAGGTGGTATCAGACTGTTATCACTCCACACGTATTCCAGTTCAAGAAATGATGGCATTGGATCAATATTATTCAGTGTGCGAGATCAAGCTGATGGCACGAGTCGAGTGCACAATATTCGCGATGGTGCTGCAGTTAATTTGATCTTCGGTCGACTACCGTTGTTTTCAATCCATTCTTCGGCACATTCGTAGTGATGGTGTTTGAATGTAGAAAATACATGAACATCCAGCGATTGGATGTATATTGTACAATCTTTCGAAATTACAGCAACAACAGTTCATTGTTTGCGCATGAGACGAATTGTCTCTTCATTTAAATGAGTAGACGTTGTATCTGTAATAAACAACTTTGGTTGTCCATCGTTCACTTTTGAGTACCACCAGCTAGTATACTTGTCCATTGTTCTGAAAGTATAAAAGATGACAACATATTTTTGATAAGGAAAAGAGGTATCTTGTGTGAACAACTTACGATCGGTTGTTGAATGATTTTGGTGTGAAGAACACTTTTACTTTAGATGCATATCGCATCTTCTCATTGTCACTCATCTGACCTTTTCCTTTGAACAAGACAACTTGACCTATACGAGTGTGATCTTCAGCAAATAACGTTAGTATGACAGTATAAAATCGTTTGTCTGATATGTGACCTTCAATTTCATTTACTGTGTTCATATCATTGATGTATAATTTTGTTTGATCACCGAGTAAACTAAGAGGACTTTCGTCCATATTTACCATGTCACGAGGTAAGAAGGCGCCCATAGCACCGCATTTTGGACCCCCATGTACTAGCACGCCTGATGTATGTATGAAATGAAGTGATAAGTAGATGAACCTCATAGAGTGGCACCTTCTGTTGTGTTGTTGGTTTTTGAAGGGGAGAGACAATAGCGGTGCATGAATCGACCATACCACTTCGTCGATGGTGGATGCTCATGCTTGAGTTCGATACAAAGTTGTTTGCCACGTCGTTGTAATTGTTTGAATGTTACTTTTTCTCATTTAACGACGATCGATGTTGTCGTTGTAGATGCATTTGACTGAATGGTAGGAGCAGTACGACGTTCCCGGAAACATTCGAGAAGCAATTTATCGAGTTCGGGATACTGTAGCTTGTGTCCAGCACTGGGAAGCCGTTTTCGTTTGCGTCCTATACTCAGTCAAAGTAAGAAAGAATTAGAGATGCAAGAGAGATCAGTATCATAATCCGTAGAAGAACAAAACTTACCATTTTTTTGCTGTGATAGTTGAATAAGATCTTCTTTTTGTTTCACCCATTGAGATAATTGATATCTTGAGCAACCTTCCTTTTTTGACGTGAGCAGTTTATTACCACCAGCTTTTTCCAGCATATCAACGGCATGTAGCTGCTCTGCAGTTGACCATTGTCGGCGTTTACGCTTGCATGATGGACTCTCCACCATCAAGTTAGATACAGCGGATGATGAGCCAAACAAGGACGATTGATCAGTTGATACAATATCTGCATTCAGATCATCTAGATCTTCATCGAGTTCAGTATCATTTGAGTTTAAGACTAAATTCGACTGTTGAACATCAGTTGCCTCTTCGTTATTGTTATCTTCGTCATCATCATCGAGATTAAAATGATTCTTGATTGAAATGGCAATATTGTCTGTTTCATCAACGATCGATATCACGTCGAGATCAGATTCATCGGAACTTGTGTCATTATGATCATCCGATTCGATTTGTGGTAACGTATACAAATGACAGTCAATGTTCATGGTAAAAAAAACTTGGAAGTATCACAGAAAAGAAGTACTAACCAAGACAAGTTAGATAAAGTTTAATTTGATAAATGGTGAAAAATGACTCTATTAGGAAAAATATTTATACAAGAAGTGAACAAATGATAAGATAACTGAGCAACAATGAACAATAAAGAGAGAAAGCTATTCATTTTCTTCTTACAATGATAATATAGGTCAAGAAAAGAAACAGAACATTCATATACAAACGAGACAGAAGAAAGAAAAGGAATGATGAATATATTCTTAAGGACAATATGTAACAAGACGACGTTTACTCTTTCGATTTTTTTACTATTGTTTATCTTTCTCATTTATTCATTTAGACAAGCGGACTTCGCCATATAACAATGCACACCCGGACGTCGTGAAGATGATCCACATTATCTTCTTTTTCGTTTGTGATATGACATATGGCTATCCTATTCGAATCTGAGGAATCGCAGACGTATTAGAAGGCCATGGCCTTCTAATAGGGCGTTTGAACTT